TCCCCACAGTATGCCCATAGTGTGTTAAGAAATACAGTAGAAAATGTACCCCTTGAACCCCGCTTCTCACTGGTTGTGGCAGATCCTGGGCACTGGTAGTAGTCGTGCTCCATCAGGGCCTGTGAGGCTCCGGGACACCGTGTGGGGACCGTGCATGTTTATGCTTAAAGACACCTAACTTCATGTCCGCCGTTGGTTTGGGGCACCGAGCCCACAGCTGGGAGCCCTGGCCCATGGCTGATCAAGGCTCTGTGGCTCCATGAGGCCTCCAGGGACACTGGACAGCACTTCAGCACTGTGCTCGGGGACATTTAAACAGCAACAAAAAAGACGCTGACCAAAAGCACAGGCCCCAGACTGGACACCGAGGTGGCCACAGAAAGGACAGGCAGAGTGTCCACTGCACCGCAAGGGCAGAGCACCCACCACCTGGCCTCAGCCAGAAAGTGCACTTCCAGCCTGGAAAGGTCCTCCCCACCGTCCTGTCCTCAAGTGACTTTGGAACAGCAGAGCGTTGGTGAGCTTTGCCGAGAAGGTGACTGGGAGCACTCATGGGAAGGGGTGGATTGTCCACCCATCCAGGCCTCGGTGAAGCTGCCCCTCTTCACGCCTACACCTCTCGGGACACGGCCCGCAGCTGGTGCTGCCTGGCTGCCGCATCTCTGGAGAGAAAGATGGGCCCAGAACCTCACGGAGTCCTCCTCTAGGACTCACCTGGGAGTTTCGGGGGCTCTTTGAAGAGAGCTTAAGACAGCAAACCAGCAAAGAGCCCTGGGCGAGGATGCAGCCTGCTCCCTCCAGCCCCAGGGATCCCAGGCAGCCCTGTCTGAAGCCTGCAGCCCCAGCGGGCTCCGCGGCAGACAGTAGAAGCAGCCTTCCAGCTGGGAGCCTGGCCAGGACTTCAGACCAGGACAGCCACAAAGAGCAGCTTTGACGGAGGCGACATCTGTCAGCTTGAAACAGAGCCAGCGGCGTGGCTGAGGGAAGCACTTCTCCAGCTTTGCTGGGTCTCTGTCTGCAGGGAGTCTGGAGGGGAGACTGCAGCTCTTGAGAGCCCTGCCCGCCCACCTCTGGAAAGACTGCTCTGCTCGGCAGCCCCCCTCTGCCCACTGGGTCCGCCTTTGTCTCCCTCGGTCACTTACAGTGTATTTTCAGGCACGCAAATCACACAGAATACCATCTTGGTGGCACAGACCCCTCCCTGCAGGCAGCACAGCCCACCCTGTGAGGCTCCAGCCATGCCCCGCTCTGCGCCTGTCTGAGCCTGGGCCATGAGCTAGAGAGCTTCCAGCCTCTCCCGGGGCCACACTGCTGGGTTTATGTGGATCCCCCATGTCTTAACCTCCATCCATCGGACAGATGACAGTTGGATCTTTCCTCGTTTTCTTCTAAAGCGTAAAGTGTGAAGCATTTTGCATACAATTGTCAGTGTATGTGGTATGTCTGCACGTGTGTGTCTGTGTGTGCAGGGTCATGTGTATGCATGTGTGTGCCTGTGTTCCCCGTGTGTATTTGCAGGTGTGTATGTGTCTGTGTACTTGAGTGTCTTCCGTGTTCGTGTGTTTGCCATGTGTGTGCTGTGTGAGTTGTGTGGCTTACGTGTGCTCATTTGTGTGCATCTGCGTGAGCAGGCCTGTTCACATGACGTGCAGGGACGCGTGTCTATGTTTGTGCTCGTGGGTGCGTGTGTGTTGGTGTCTCCAGAGCGGAAATGCGGGAATGGGTGGGGATGGGATGCATTTCATCTTCATGGCCACCGGAGCTGCGGTCTGATTCATCTGCATTAGGAGTGAAGGGCACAGAAGGAGCCGTGAAGGACCGAGGCTTGTGCTGTTTCCCATGTGCTGGGCTCTGGCTTCTGTGGGGGCTCTGGAATTCGGGGCCACAGCCCTGCAGGTCAGATTAACGGCACAAAGCCTATGCCCATAACCACCTCATCATTTCTCAGTTCAGATAGACTCTCCCTGTGTGCTGGGTTTCTCTGTCCCCTCCCAGGCGGGCTATGCGGGGCAGGGGTCCGAATGAGTCTTTCCCGCAAACGCTTTCCCACAGAGATGCGATTGCCATGCCAAGGAGCCCAGTGCCCAGCTTGAAGGAGCCTGAGCCCTGCCTTCCACTGCTGCCAAGCCCTGCATTCCTGCCGCCATGCTGAGCACACCTTCCACTTTTTCACTGAACCCCACGGAGGGGCATCTGTGGCCCAAGGGGGCGACTGGGAAGCCAAGAACGGTAGCCTCTAGGGGTCCTGTGCTGCGGTGGGCATGGGCTCAGCTCCGCAGCCAGGAAACACAAACAGCAAGCAAACCCTGCCTGTCAAGGGCACAGGATCCCGGCAGCCAGCTCCAGGCGGGTCCCCTGGGGTCCTCTGAGACCTACGAGACACCAGAGGGAAGGCGCAGGACCCCAAGCAGGCTCCCCGACGGATGACCGCAAAGCCCCCGGCCACTCCCACGAACCCATCTTCTGGAACCGCCCACAGACCGGCGCCACACTCCGTGGTCTGGGCAGAGATTGCAGCAGAGCCACGTTCGCTCCTAAAGCCACCAGGCTACGCGTAGCTCTTGCACCCGCCTATGCTGAGTCACGTGTGTTGAGTGAATGACTGATCCCATGAATGGAGGGTGACAGGAAGCAGGGGCACAGTGGGTCAGGCGGGGACTCGGCTCTTCCCTACCCAGCCCAGAGCTGCACCTATGGGCAGGGGCAGGGTCAGCACCCTGCAGGCTGCAGCCTCACTCATGGGCTCCTCCCTCTTCTGGGGGCAGAGCCCTGTCTGCCGCCACCAGCCCACAGGAGACAGAAGGCCTGGTGTCCGGGACTCAGGAGCGGTGCACCCGACAATACTATTGCTCTGTTTAAGAAAACCACAGCATGTTTGGAGGCTCAAAGTGAAGGGCGGAGGGTGCTGGAGTGTGACAAGCTATGACCCTGATTTGGTCACCGCGTGCCTCAGAATACCATGCTGTACCCTAAACACGCGGGAGTTAGGAGTCAACCAAAACTCTTCAAAATTCCAGACCCTGACTTGTGGGTGTTGCGAGTGGAGGGCTCACTGAGGGAGCTGACCAGTGCCCCAACTCTGGGCGCACCTGTCCCGGGCGCCCTCTGGTGGCTGCGCTCAGAAGTGTCCAGGTTCCAGCCTGGCGTTCCCGGGGGTCCTGGTGGTCCTGGCTTCTTCTTGCTCTGTTCCTGCTGCTGGAGCGTGGGCTGCTCAGCTTCCCTCCGCGGGCTGGGAAGACCACCCGGGGCATACAGGCCCAGGCAGGACTGCTGGGTGGGCCTCCGAGAGGATCTGGGTGCCCTAGAGGGGACAGCTCCTGCCTGGCGCCAGCCGACTGACTGGCATGGCTCCAAATTCTGTTTTCCGAAGAAACCGAGCTGTATTTCCACATGCTGTCTCTGATTCATACAAACGCTGCACCATCCGCCCTGCGCTCTCCGGCCCTCCTGGCCTCTTCCCTCTCCAGGCTGTGATCGTGTCTTGGGCTGAGTCGATCCCTGCACCCTGGATGCTGTCCTGCCCTGGCCCTGCTTCTGGGGCGGTGGTGGGGGCCCCATTTCTGCGTGCGGCAGAGTGCTGGCTTCGCCTGTAGGTGGGGGAAGGGAGGACACCAGGTCTGCAGAGCCCGCTTTGAGCGGCGGCAGCAGCCTCTGTCAGCTCTGCAGTCGCTTGTGTGGGGCCAGGGACCCCATCAGTTCGTGGTACCCAGAGAACTAGCAGCTCACCCAGTCCATCCACAGCAATACCACATCTACCAAGCTCCTTACTCAGGCCGGCCATCACACCCAGGCATCCTGGTTTCTCCCCAGGTCGTGAGCACTGTGGTCCTAGGGACTGTTTTGCTGCTGTGAATCTCCAGCACAGGTAGCAGGCGCTCGGGACCTATGCTCAGAACCCTGCGTGGAAAGGATCTGTGGACACATGCGCTGACTGGCCAGACCTGTGGGAGAAGTGCCTTGGTTGCTTGGCCCTGTGGGAGTGGTGCTCTGCTACTAGGCCTGTTGGAGTGGCTTTTTGATTGGTTAAACTTATGGATGTCGGCTCTGATTGGCTAGGCCTGTGGAAGCAGCATTCCAATTGGCCAAACCAGTGAGAGCCACGTTCTGATTGGCTGGTCTTGAGGAAGCAGTCTTCCGGTTGGCCAGGAGCAAAACACGTGTTCCTACTAGGACCTAGTTATGGGCCTGAATCTACCACCAACTGAGTGAGAACTGGATCTGAGCAGTTCCAGGAAAACTGAAGATCTGTGGAACAGTGCACACCAGCTTTTAATGATAGAAGTGAGACAATGAGAGGGGCGGTAGGAAGAAGTGGGAGAGAAAACGAGAGCAGCAGCCGTGAGACCCGCTCTGACCCAGCCAGCCTGTGACCTGACCCTGTCTTGTCCCTGGATAAAGCCGTGGGACGTGGGTGCACTGGCATTTCAGCTAAACTTGCTCCCTTTGCTCTCCTTCGAAGCTGAACATAAGAAAAAAATTAAAGAAAGGAAGGAGGACGGACAGCACCTTTCCGTGCGCGCCGGCTGGGCAGTGCGGCGTCAACTGCTTGTTGCTGTAGGCAGCTGGGATCCGGAGCGGCGAGCAGGGAGGCATCTCCGCGGCATCCCTAACGCGCAGGCTTGCTCTTGTGCACAGAACGGAGCACAGCTAGGACAGGCACGAGCTTCCGGACCATTCCCCTTCTCCACCAAGGGTGACGTCGGTGCGGACATCTGTGCTGTGTGTCTGTTTGCTGTCTGTTCACATGCAAATACATATGTATGGCCAGTGTTGTGTTCCAGGTTTTTGTAATTTTAACACGATGATATTAAATTTATCAACATTTATAAATGTTAATATTGCTATGGTTTCAACGTGATTTTAGCATAAATTATGTACTCCTTGTGTGATAATGCTAATGCTTACGTGCTATCTCCCCCCGCTTTACAGAACACTGGATATGTTGGAGGTACCAGTCTATCCAATAATCAGCTTCCCAGGGTGTATGAGAGTTAGTAATTATGAGCCAGTACCGGCAAGAACATGTAAGGTAAAAATTTACAGAGACAATTTTCGGGGCCTTGTCTAGACATTCTGCCCTTGATTTTTTTTCCTCCCTGGAACTCAGATGTGGTGGCTGCATGGGTGGCAGCCATATGGCAATCATGAGCCTGAAGTCCTTTACCAGAGATGATGGAACAGAAAGATCTATGGGGTCTGGGTCTTTACTGATTTCATGAAGCCTTTGATTTGAATCCTTCTGTAAAGCTCTATGGAAAAAATAATCTGGGAAACTAAAAACCCACCTCATAACTCTTACACATACTTCTGGATGTTTTCACATGAATGACATTCTTTGGGGACTTAATTTCTGCCTGTCACATGTCATGCAGAGTTTTCTATGTTAATACTTAGTGTTTTTCTTTTCAACTGTTCTGTAATAATTGGTCAAGGAATTATCAGGTGATGACTTTGTGTGCCTCCTGCCTACCATGTGCCAGGAACTACTCGGGCTCTTTTCCTCAGTGAGACACTCAGGGAGGCCAGCCAGGTGAGGGCAGAGGGTGAGCAGAGTAGGGCTGGGGCTGGGAGCTGGTGGCCTGTGCAGAGCCGCCCCTGTCCCCAGCTGTCCTGCCCTGAGCTGTGCCAAGCACCCCACTCCTGACCGTGTCCACACCCCCTCTGGTTAGGGGACAACAGCCGCACCCACTGTGCTGGGGACAGAGCGTGACCCTGGAGACATCCACAAGCTCTCCAGGGTGGGGACACCAACTGCTGCTCACCTTCAGTCCCTGCCCTCAGTAGCTCTGGCTTGGGAACCCCTGCAGTGACCCAGGGAACCTCATGTGCAGTGGAGGCTTCCTCCCCAATCAGAATGTGGCTTCTACATGCTTGGCCAATCAGAATGCTGCTCTCACAGGCCTGGCCAATCAGAATGCCACTCTCACAAGTCCCACCAATCAGGGCATTGGTCCCACAGGCCTGACCAATCAGAACAGACCCTGCCAATCAGCATGCTCATCATTGTCACTGTAGGTGAGGGATTTGGAACTGAGTGGTGGACCTGCTCCCCCTCCCCACCCAGGAGGTGTCCCTCCTCCACCAAGCAGCATCCCAGCCACAGGCACCACCCTCAGGTGCTGGTCCCTGTGGCACCGACTATTCTGCATCTCTGGGCATCTTCTGCACCTGTGGGCTGGTATCCAGTTGCCTCCTGCTCCCACCTACCCTCCCCAGGGCACTGGGCTCTCCTTTGCCCATGTCCCCCAAGCTCACCAAACAAGGTTTGTTCTCTGCCTTTCCCCACACACTCGAGGCCTCCTGATTCGTGGAGGTCTTCTTTTCCCGAGCTGAGTGTTTTCCAGGACTGATACCCTAGCCCCTGCATTATTAAAGCAGAGCAGTCTTAAGCTCAGTGGCCCCTTTGTCAAAGCAGGATGTTGATTATCCGTTATCTTAAAGTCACAGGAAGGCACCGAGGCTGGCTTAAGTCGAGCCTTGAAGCCTCCGGCTGGGGTCTGGCTGCACTCAGGGCCCCGTCTCCAGCCTGTAGCCTGACTCAGCCTTGGGGAGGAATGGTGCTTCTTTTATTTATTTATTTTACTTTTTGGCAGCACTGGGGATTGAACCAAGGGTCTTCACACAGAGCTACATCCTCGGCCTCTTTTCACTTTATTTGTGAGACAAGCTCTCACTGAGTTGCCAGGGCTGGGCTCAGACTTGCAGTCCTTCTGCCTCGGCCTCCTGAGTAGCTGGGATTAAAGGGCTGTGCCACCACGCCTGGCCAGTAATGATATTCTTACTGTCACGTTTACCAAGCATGGGTTCTCTGTCTCCATGGAAAATACCGTTGGAAGCTAGACATGAACTTAGCGAGCTTACACCAGAGCCCTGGGTTCCCACCCTGACTGCAGCGGCCCTGCGGGGCAGCTGTGGGGGACCCGACTCTGGCCTCACCCCATATGGGTGATGTGGAAACAGCAGCGGTGCTCACCCTGAGGGCTGTCGTCCACGTACAGGACTCACCCTGCCGCGTGTGTCAGCCCGCGGAGTTGTGTCGGGTGCCTGACCTTACCCTGCCTGACGAGCTGAGCTTCAGGATGGTCAGGTTTGTGTCCAGCCGGGGGAATTTCTTCCCCTGGACTTCTCAGCACTCTCCCTGTAATTCTCCACTCCCTCTTGGAAAGTTGAGCTTTAGTGTCTTTTGCACCACCAGAAAAGTTAAAGACCCTGTAATGAAAGAGAAAATCGCTTTCAATGAAGGGTGTATTCTTTTCTCCTTTTGTGTGCTCTGCCATCAGGAAAGCATTTTCTACTTCACACCCTGAGACTTCTCATTAATATAATCGTCCTGAATACTCGTGTAACCAAACAAAGCCACAGACATTAAGGAGACTCGGATATGGGGGACGTGGACCGCTCCGTGGAATACAGACTTTTAAAAAATTATCTGTAATTACTGGGTAAGAAAACACGAGCACTGTATGAAAAACAAGCTCGGTATCTTTTAGGAAGACACCATCATAAAGAATGGGTACACTGTTCCTTTTTATTTACATGAATCGAGATAATTTGGGCTCTCGGGATAACGGAAGGTTCGGCCGTCAGTAAAGCAGACATCTGCATGCTCGTTACGCCGTTTGATCAGACCGAGCTGAGCGTCCCCGTCCGCCATGTGCTGCCTGGCAACTGACCGCTACTCAAACACGCCGCAAATAGGCGCGTCTGCAGCTCGGAGCCCCTCCGGATTTCTGGTATTTGGCTTGCAGTTCAGAGCTCTATGGAAGGCACAGTACGAGCCACGTTTACACCGCCAACCAATGGGAAGCCTGTGTGTAACTCAGCTCCTGGGGCGCTGCGGAAATACCTAAGAAGTCCCTACTGCTGGGCCCACAGCTTGCAGGGGTCCCTTGCCTCTCAGGGCTCAGCAGCCGAAGGCCCCGGGCCTGACCACCACCTGTCCTGATGGTCCCAAATGTAAGAATATTTTTTCAATGATTGGCGAAGCTTTTGTAATGCAACAGCATTTATGACACAAATATTACACGAAGTGCAATGCCTGCCTTGTCAGTAACCTTCCCTAGAGTCAGGCCTGGCTGTGTGTCTCCCTGTGTCTCTGGCTGCCTCCAGACACTGCAGCGGCCTGGTCAGGGAGACAGAGACCCCTTGGCCCACAGAGCCCCAAGGACTTCCACGCTGGACGTCGTCAGAGGCTGCTGAGCTCTCTTATGGAACCAGATAATCTCAGATGCTTTCAGTTGGACTGAGACACACCTCCCTCTGCAGACCCCCGGGGGTCACACAGGTGGGGGCCAGGACACCACTCTGTCGGGGCCCAGGGTCCCCAAGCAGCATGCTCTCCCCGCAGCAGGGAAGCCATAGACCACAGTGAGGCTCTGTCTGATTCCAAAGCAATAAGGAAGGGATTTGCAAGTTTTCTCTAAGAAGAAACGGGAAATGTTTGGGGAGAGAGGTGCTGACCCGACTGAAACATGACATGACATGAGGTTTCAAGCCACACATGGTATTCATTCACTGGTAGGTTTTATGTCTTATGTATCATTAAAATTTCTAATTGAAATTTAAAAGTCTTGCATCCCTCCAGTGCACCTACCCTGTGGCCGACTGTCACCTGCAGTTTTGGAGTGGAGGCTGGTTGGTGTGGTGGCCTCTCTGAGCACTCTGTGCCTCCTGTGCAAGCCTGGTGCCTCATTCCAGTGGCCTATAGACCTCTCTCCGCGGGAGCCTCTCCCTCTCCCCGTCCCCACTCCCCCTACCCCTCCTCCCTCCCCTTCCTCCCCTACCAGTGGATTCCCAGCCAGCGCACTGCCCTGGAGGCCAGAAGGTGCAGCAGTGTGGGCTGTCCTGGAGATGCTGGAGAGCTCCGCCCTCCCTGCCACGGTGACCCCACCACCCAGTCCCGGTCAGGAGCCATTGCATTGGGCCTGCGCAAAACAGAAAGGACTTGTAAGAAGCAGGTTGGGAGTTCTGCGCTGGATCTAGACCAGGCTTGGCAGAGTGACTCATGGGTCAAATGCAGCCCGGCCCCTCAGAACGGCTCTCAGGTTTTTAAATGGGTTTAGAAGTAGCTGTGTAGTTTTGAGTTTTGTCTCCTTGCCTTTCAAGCTGAAAACAATGACTCTGGTTCTTTAAGAAGTTTGCCAATCTTCGGCTAGACTGATGGCTCAGTCCTCACCTTGTAGACCAGGAGATGAAACTCTTTGTCTCATAACCTATGTAAATCCATAATTAAAAACATATCAGCAGAGTGCTCTGGCACAGAAAGGAAAAATAACACCAAGTAATTCACGGTAAATTCACATTTGTGTTTATCTAGGAGGCCAAAGAAATGGTCAGGCACTTTCTGCTGTATTTTAGGGTCACTGTGGGTGGGTCGGCCACGAGAAGAGCTGGATGCTATTATGTGCAGATAATGTGGGTTTCACAAGCAGACTGGGTATTGTAGGTGCAATTTTCCAACTGGAGTAACAGACTTTTAATAAGATTATATCCAGGCACAATCTTCACCCCAGTAGTTGCAATGCCAGAAGGTGCAGAACCACTTAACCATTGCCCCTCCTCTTGTGTATGTGTGTGTGTGTGTGTGTGTGTGTGTGTGTGACACAGGTGGGTGTTTAAGGTCACCCTTAAACATTATACATATTACACCATTATACATAGGCTTCTCGTCTTTGGGAAGGCCTAGTCGACCACGCCATGCAGACTTTGGGCAATCTTGTGCTGTATAAGATGGTCTTGTGCCTTGTAGGGAACCCGACTGAACTGGACCCCTCTCTGAGTCCTGAAGTGTCCCCTCCAGCCACTCTGGGATGCAGTATGGATTATTAGTGTCCCCAAGGGTTTATATGCTAAAGGCCTTTGGTGTTGTTGGAAAGCAGTGTCGCCTTTTGGGGTAGACCCTGGTGGACAGGAGTTAGGTCACAGGGTCACATGCTCTGTGATGCTGTGCTGTCTACCCCAGCTCAATGCCAGTAAAGCCATGTGAGCCTGGACTGAGCCCTCCCCAGCCCTGAGCCAATAGGAACCTTCCCTCCTTTAAGGTGACCTAGCTCAGGTTATTTGTCACAGTGGTGGAGAACTGAATAACAAACACATTGTGATAACCAGAAACTGTCCCATACCTACCCCAAATGCCATCTATGGTGGGTTGGATTATGCCACCTTCCTGGTGATATGTGTCCCTCCTGCCACTGACTATGAAGATATGAGCTGACATGGCAGAGGGGACCTCTGCACATGGGAGCAAGCAAGGGATCTTGGGTGGACCCCACCATCTCTCAGAGCAGGCGTCTCCTGGAAGGATGGCCAACCTGCGCCAGTCCGAACCCCCTAAGGACCTGGGGTCCAGTGGGAAGAGAAGGGCCAATGGGCAGCATGAGGGCTATTTGCACAGCTTAGCTTGAGAAAAGGCCGCAGGGGTGCAGCTGAACACCCCAGCTGGACGCAGAGCCTCCTGGTGGGCATCACCCACAGTGCTACCACACTCCGTTCCATTCCCAGGCTGGTGCCAAGATTCTGGACGTCTGGGAACATCTGTCTCAAGGAGGGTGGCCCCATGCTCCCTGCCAGGGCTCAGTGGAGCAGCACAGGCTGACCGCCGCTGTCCCCAAGAAGAGGACACTCCCCGGAGCACCTGCCCTTTTAGAGCGGGGCTCTCTGCTCTGACATCATAGCACACTCTGTAATTTCAGCAAAGGATATTCAGGGTTTGTTCATAAGAGGCACTGAAATCAAATAATCCATTTGTCAAGGTGTCTTTTGTCTCAAGAAAGAGGAAACACTGAGCTATATTTCACAGAGAGAAGTGCTGGGTCTGAGGAATGTTAACAAATTGCAAAGCAGGGGAGGGGAGCATTCCGGCTGGCTTGTGTTTCAGGCAAGCCACAGCTGCCTGCAAAGTGAACCCACCTCGGGTCCTCGTGAGGCACACAGGGACAGGCGGCTGTGTCCGCAGGTGGCTGGGCCCTGGCGAGGGGACTTCTGAGCCAAGCCTGCACAGATTCAGGAAACATCCGCCTCTTGGGTCTCAGGCTCGCCCCCGCCCACGGACACTGCCCAGCTTTCATTCCCCACTTGCTTCTCGGGCTTCGGATCTTTCTATTAGAACCCACTGGCATCATTAGATGCTCTAAGAAAAAGAGCAACAAATCCAATATGCATCTTGCTGAGGACGAGAAGTGGTTTCGGAGGCCCGGAAGTTAATGGTATTTGAGATTCACGTACATGCTTCTATGCTAAGCTGGGGCTGTGCTTCACCATAGGGGTTGTCTGCTCCAGGAACGCTCACTGTGATGTGTTTCTTCTTCCTGGACTAGAGAAGGCTTTGGCTAAAATCCTGCCCTGCCCCTACCTGCCTATGGAATCCCTGGCAGACACTGGGCCAGGGCCGCTCAGTCTCAGTGCTGCAGGCCCCGCAGGCTGGGTGTATGCCCTCCGTGGTGGGGCTGCTCTGTTTGTGTTCAAAGCATCCTCCAGGGTCAGGGACATAGCTCAGTGGTTCCGCCGCCTGCCTCACAAGTTCAAGGACCTGAGTTTGATCGCCGGTACCAAAAATAAAAAAGCATCCTTGGCTTCCATTCACCTGGCGAGTGTCTCCCCCTGCCCGTTGTGACAATCCAGAGTGTCCCCGGGGGCAAAATTGCCCTTTGCCGAATCCCCTGCTGTCCTGGAGGGGCTTTTGCACACCCAAAGCTGTCTCACTTGTGCAGCTGTATTACTCTGAGAGATTTCCTTTAGATCTCCAGGTGAAAAAGAAAGCAGGACCTAGCAGGCATCTGTCACGTAGGCCCATTCTGAGGGTCTCAGTGCTGGGTGCCTCCTTTGTGGCTCAAGGGTCAAAGGTGGACTTAGGCACGCCCAAGTGACACAAGTGGGTCACCAAACAGGGCTTCTCCACGCCATGCAGAGGCTCAGTGAGCAGGTGCTGCACCGGGATGCTGTCTGCAAAACAGCTCAGAGAATTTCACAGCAAACGTTCTCCTAAGGGGAAAGAGTATAAAATGGAATAAAATATAGCACAGTAAGTCCACCAACCAGTGACACGGGCACTGCCACCCATCCCAGTGCTGTGACCTGCACGTCGTTGGCTGTGCTGGAGTCTGACATGGGTGGCAGCATGGTGGGTTCATCCACATCTTGGTGGCTGTGGTCAGAGGCCGAAAGTGCTGTGCTTCCAGGCTGTCTGTCCACCGCTGACCCCACTCAGGCAAAGTTTGTCCCTGTCCCACCCGCCAGCCAACTTCCTTCTCTCACCACCAGATCCTGAGAGTCCCTCCTGCCTGTCCAGACTCTCCCAGAGATGTCTCCCAGAAGGCACTGTCCCCACTCAGCCTGTCGGCAGGGAGCCCATCGTCCCCCCGTGTTTCTCTGCCTGGGTGCTAAGAGCCATGGCCACTCCTATATCCACTACCTCAGAATCTCAAAAACTCAGTTTCCAGCCTTGGCCTGGCAGTGTGGCTCTAGGAGGAACAGCGGGCGGAGGACACAATATCCCGACGCTGACAGGCGAGTGCAGATGAGGGAAATGAGTAGACAGGAAGGGGACAGCGAGAGCCCGCTGTCATCACAGAGGCCAGATGGAGTGGCAGCTGTCTGTCTGGCCCACGGGGTAAGCGTGGGCATTCCCAGGGGGACCCATGAGTCACACAGTCACCCTGTCTTGCTGGTAGATGTGTGAGCAGTTGAGGCAGAGGAGGGAAGGGAATCCGTGACCGCTCCCCATGTCCTGGTGGCCCGGGGTGGTTTCTTGCCCTGGGTTCCATCCCCTGTGTTGTGAAAAAAGAAAAAACAGGAAGGGGAGGAGGGAGAGGGGGAGGGTACCTGTGAGAAGGTGGGGTTCCCGGGAACACCTGAAGCATGGACCGTAAGTGGCTGCGGAGAACCCCAGGCCCCCTGCTGGGTGCCCGCATCACGAGGGACACTGTCTCTGGGCAGTGGCATCTAGTCTCTGGCCCTGCACGTATGTTGCCTACTGTCCGAGCTGGGCTTCTGTGTCTACTCGCTGGCCAATTCCATGTGCTCTTCAGGCATCCGGCGGGCAAGTGCGGTCAGGTGTCACACAGGAGGGTGCTGCAGTGAGCGTGGCATTTGCCTGTCCCTGTGCATATGCAGCCATTCCACCGCTGTGACAGAATACCTGAGAAAAAATCAAAGGAGGAAAGCCTGTTTGGGCTCATGGTTTAGGAGGCTTCAGTCCACAGTCAGCTGGCTCCAAGGCAGAGACAGGACAGTGAAAGGGCCTGTGGCAGGACACTGCTTACCTCATGGCAGCCAGGAAGTGGGGTGAGGTACAGCCAGAGAGAGGAAGGGGCCAAGGATTACACACTTCCCAAGGTCCCTGTGACCCACTCCCTTCCACTGGACCCCACCTCCTGTTTCTCTCACCTCCTGATAGGGCCATGAATCCATTGCTCTTGTCAGTGAATTAATCCATAGAGGAAGTTCATGCCACCATGATCCAATCACCCGACTCTGAATGTTGCCACACTGGGGACCAGCCTCTGAGGGGCACTTCGCATTAAATCACAGCAAGTGGCTAAATATGCAGGCAAATGAGTACAGGACTTGACTGTGTGAAAAGGCATTTTAACAATCTTCACGGTCTTACGGGGAGTGTGGAGGGACGCTTTACCCCATAGGGGGAACACAGGGCTCCCGAGAGAAGGGGCTGTTGGAGCTACATGCTGAAGGCAGTAGTTAGGCAGAAGAACAGCCTGTTGTCTGGACAGCTCGGCATGGATTCCAGCTACATTCTCAGAGCCAGGCGGTGCTGGGAAAGGCACGTCACTGCTCGGTTCAAAGTCCACACCACAGGAAGTGGTCCTCGAAGTACTTCCCTTAGGACAGCTGAGCAGAGCTGAGGTTCCTGGTCTACACCACACAACCATGCCCATCACACCACTG